TTCAGTGTGTTCCATCTCTCGAAGTCTTGTCTGTGATTTTGTACTGCACCCAAACTGGTCACAGAGCCACCCAGCCATTCTGTAGCTCCTTTTCTTCTATACAAAGTTGGGTTTAAATTCCAAGAATCAGCTGGGCTGGAGCACTGACCCAACATGCATGAAGCCTGGATTCTAACCCCATCCTTGTAAAGAGCGATGACGACGACAAGAAGACATTTTCAAGAACTAATGACTGGCTGTTTGGAGCTGTGTTAGTCTGTTCTATTGCTGTGAAGAGAGGCCATGCACAACAACTCTTAAAAAAGAAAGCTTTTACCTGGGGCGGGCTTACAGTTCGGAGGTTTAGTCCATTTTCTCCAAGGGCAGGAAGCATGGCTGCATGTAGGCAGACATGGGGTGGAGAGATAGCTGAGAGGTCTGCATCTGGATCTGCCGACAGCAGGAAGAAGGAGACCCTGGAACCTGGCTTGGACTTTTGAGCCCGGAAAGGCCTCCCCCTGTGACACACTTCCTTCAACAAGGCCACACCTCCTAATCCTTTTAAATAATGCCACTCTCTGTTGACGTAGCATTCACATATATGAATCACGGGGGCCATTGTTATTCAAACACCACAGGAGCCATGTTAGTTTTATTAGGAACAGTATGATTGCATTTTTATATTTTTAAGAATTTGGAGACAGGTATAGTAATGCACAACTTTAGATCTAGCACTTGGGAGGCAGAGGCAGGCAAATCTCTGTGAGTTCATACTCTTTTACTATGTAGATACTAACCTGATCTACATAATGAGTTCCAGACCGAGTCTCAAAAATAAATGAATTTGGGGTGCTAGGGATGTATTATTAAAAGAGCATTGTGAAACCTGGTTTGATCCCAAGCACCACAAATCTAATGAGGCTTTTGAAAGATATTAGAACAATCCCTCCCAGTCCTTAAGTGGGAAGATACAATAGGGGTTTTTGTTGTTATTATTTTGACATGATATATTGGTTGTTTGGTTTGATTGTTTAAGACAGGATCTTATGTAGCCCTGGCTGGCTTCAAACTCACTATGTATCCAAAGATAAGCTTTAACTCCTGATCCTCCTGCCTCTACCTCCCAAATACTAGGAGTACATTTGTGCCACCATGCATAGCTCACATGATGGATTGTTACTTTTCTGTACAATGGAGAACATTCTGAATATCTTTTGCAACATGGTCTGGACATCCTAACTACTTTTTTCTAATATGATCTTAACTGTAGCAAAGGCTTTTCTAGAAGTTGTTAAGAGGTTACCTATGCTATGGAATGTAAACTGTTAAAAATCTGCTTAGTCACTTTGGAGAGTCACTTGTTAGCTCAGTAAAAGTGAAATTAGAACATTTGCCATTTTGGGAAAGAAGAAAAATTGATTTGGATTCCTCTTAAAAGTTTAACTTAAAGCCACTCGGTGGTGGTGCATACCTTTAGTCCCAGCCCTCAGGAGACACAGGCAGGTGGATCTCTGTGAGTTCGAGGCCAGCCAGGACTCTTTCACAGAGAAACCTTGTCTCTCAAAAAAAAAAAGTTTAACTTACTTACTTTAAAACTATTTTAATTTTTATTTGTGTGTGTGTGTGTGTGTGTGTGTGTGTGAGAGAGAGAGAGAGAGAGAGAGAGAGAGAGAGAGAGAGAGAGAGAGAGAGAGATAGACAGATGCTGGAGGAGAGCATCAGATACCTTAGAGCTGGAGGTAAGGCAGCTGTGAGCCACCTGATGTGAGTGCTGCCCAGTTCTTGTCCTCTGGAAGAATGACCAGTACCCTTAACCACTGAGCCGTCTCTCCAGCCCCCAAAGCTCAACTAATTTAAATACCGTATCTTGAGATAACTTGCAACCCTGGTGTTTAACACAATTTTCATAGTCATATCTCAATATAACGTTATAAAGATTCTTTCACTTCAAATATTACAGTCTAAAAATCCCTCCCCTCATCTTACAGACACGTGCAGTACACTGCACTAAGGGAGTAGACGTGGAGCAGGCTGGCCTGACTTCAGCATGTTAGGACTCCACCTTTCCCTCCAGGGTAGCCTCAGGCAGATTACCACATGCCAGTGAGTTATGAAAGCATCGGCAAGCAAAGAATCAATTTCATACACTTTAACTTTTAGGAAACCAAGAAATGCAAGGTAAATTTTCTTTCTACTTTGAAAACTGTAACATGCTGTTCTATGAAATTAGGATTCCTTAGTCTGCCATGATAGCTTCCTATAATCTTAGCATTCAGGAGGCAGGGGATTGAGAGGTGGATCCCATCTGGGCTACATAGTAAAAAGTAAAGGATTTGGGATGTAGTTCAGTGGTAGAGAGCTTTCCTACCAGGAACAAGGCCCTGAGTTCAACCCCCAGCACACGTCGGGGGGAGGGGGTGATGACCTCCTCAGAGTTGTCATCTAATCTTTTTTAATTTGCTTTATCACTCTCTCAGTGACCTTTCCTGACGCTGATGTTTGACCTTGGCGTCGTCTTCCTGTGTGTCAGGAGATGTCCTCCTATCTTCTCCCCAGACCTCCCTCTCGTGGGTACATATCTCCTGGCTGGTGTCTTGTTAGAGTTTACACCCCACTTTAGAGAACACCCTATCCATGACTAAGTGAAATGTTGGTAAATAGGAAGCTCCATTCTCTCCTCTGTTTGATGCTTTGGCTCCTTTTCCTTCAAAGTAAGAAGTTCATCTTTAACCTCCAGTGTTGTTGAGAAGCACTTTTACCTGTAGTTGTTTGTAAGGCTTTCCTTCTCCGGGTTACCTCGGTCTCCCTTAGCTGATAGGCTTGCGACCTGAAGTGTTTTTAAATGTTGTTTGTTTTCCCAGATTTTGGAATTTTTACATATATGTAATGAGATATCTTGTGAATGAGCCAAAGTCTGAAAAATTCATTCATGATTTATATATATCTTATACACATAACCTGATGGTAATCTTACACAGCATTTTTAATGTGCCTGTATTTTGCCTATAGCCAACCTCGTGGTCGGATGTAGAATCCTCCTCTGGTGACCACAAGCTGACACTTTAAAAGTTTGATTTTTTTGAAGCATTTCAGATTTTACAGTAGGGATCCTCAAACTATCTTCATTACTTCTAGGATTCTAAGCTTTTAGAATGATGTACTATTTAGCAGGCTCTTTGACTATGGAAACTCATGTGCCTCTGTTCTGAGGGAAAAAAAATACTGTTGAAGATAAAGGTAGTATTAAGTGATAGTATTGCTTGAAAAGTTAGGTAAAATTAGGATTTTATTTTAAAATATATTAGTCTCTAACCACATCACTTGATTGTTGAGGTTTTTAATGTTCTGAAATTAAGAAACTTAATCATAATTAGCATGTTAAATGACTGATTTTTCTGACAGATACAAAATTCGGCTTTTAGTTGCAAAATATTTGGAATTATAGGACCCTGCCTCTCAGTTCCTAGCTTAACTTTTTTTTTTTTTTTTTCTTTTTGGTTTTTCCAGACAGGGTTTCCCCATGTAGTTTTGGTGCCTGTCCTGGATCTCGCTCTGTAGACCAGGCTGACCTCGAACTCACAGAGACCGCCTGGCTCTGCCTCCTGAGTGCTGGGAATAAAGGTGTGCGCCGCCGCCGCCGCCGCCGCCACCCGGCCCTAGCTTAACTTTTGCTTCACTTGAAATCACTTATGTAGGGGGGCTGGAGAGATGTCTCAGTGGTTAAGAGCACTGGCTGTTCTTCCAGAGGTCCTGAGTTCAATTCCCAGCACCTACGTGGCAGGTCAGTTCCAGGTTAGCAGACACCTTCATGCAGGCAAAACACCAGTGCACATAAATAAAAAAATTAAAAAAAAACCAAAAACCTAAGTATGGCTAGAGAGATGGCTCAGAAGGTGGCTAGAGAGATGGCTCAGAAGGTAAGAGAATGTACTGTTTTTGTAGAGGACCTAGGTTTGGTTCTCAGCACCCACATCAAGAGTCTCACAACCACCTCTGACTACAGTTTCAGGGGACCTGATACCTTCTAATCTTCCTCAGGCACCTGCATGTACATGGTGCACACAAACACAGAATTCAAATGACTAAGAAAAGGTTTTCAAAATACTTACATAAATTCATTATGAATTCTAGTATGTGTAGCCAAGGGATGCCCTGTAGAAATGTACCTGCTTGTTTTCAAATGATAAAGAATGTAAGAGTATTATGTGAGTAGAATACTTCTAAAAACTGCAAAGACAGATAATGATGTAACTAGTTATTGGAATTAATTGGCAAAACTCTTAGGAATATTTACTTGGCATTCCTGTTGCTCAGTAGTAATTGTTTACTTAATAGATTCATGTTACAGTGTACAACTCAAATTGGTATTTTAATCAGTAGAAATGGAAACAAGAGAAGAAACAATGCAGGGTATTAGTTCTGAGCACTAGCTCATAGATTTGTAACCGCCTCTTCTCATAAAGAATTCACTGGCCTGTTGTGAAATAAGAAAAAGAAAGTGAAAGTCAGATGTTGTGACACATGACTGTAATTTCTAGCGTAGAATTGGGGGCAGAAGGAATGTTGCAAGTTTAAGGTCAGCCTGGGCCACATAGAGATTCCTAGGTTGGCCAAGGCTACATTGCAAGACCCTGTCTCAAAAAACCAATAAAAGAAAAATAAGGGAAGGATAAATAGGCATAAAGTAAACTGCAAAAGTAGGAATTATTCCTATCCAAGCATGTGTTATTCCTGAGAGAGGACCCATACTGAAATTTAGCTCTGAGAAAGGACTCCATCATCTTACCTTCATGGTATGAGGAACTATTATCCCAATATGGTAGAGCAATATGGTATGAGGAACCCAATATGAACCCAATATGGTAGAGCAGCACCGCACTGTGGGAACGGGATACCCAGGGCTGCCCGACAGCATGGTGGTGTCCTTTCATGGACTGTCCTTTCATGGACTGACTCTGCTTTTTATCTTGTGTCCAATAGATGAACAGGCTGCTAATGACTTCCTTTCTTCTTTTTCCTAGATTCATCCAGAAAGTACCCAGAAGAAACTTCCTGTCAGAAAAGCTGAAAATGCAGTCTTGCTAACACTGGGATTTGTAAATAATTTGTTCAGAATGGCTGAAAACAATAGTAAAAACGTAGATGTGCGGCCGAAAACAGGCCGGAGCAGAAGTGCTGATGGAAAGGATGGCTATGTGTGGAGCGGAAGGAAGTTGTCTTGGTCCAGAAAGAGGGAGAGCTGTTCCGAGTCTGAAACCGTGTGTCCTGGAGAGAAGGCTGAAGCTCCCGGAAGGGGCCGAGAGAGGGAGCAGAGCTGTTCATCCATTCAGCTGGACCTGGACCACTCCTGTGGGCACAGATTTTTAGGCCGATCCCTTAAACAGAAACTGCAAGATGCGGTGGGCCAGTGTTTTCCAATAATGAATTGTAGTAGTCGGCACTCTTCAGGGCTTCCATCTAAAAGAAAAATTCATATCAGTGAACTCATGCTAGATAAGTGCCCTTTCCCACCTCGATCGGATTTAGCCTTTAGGTGGCATTTTATTAAACGACATACTGTTCCTGTAAGTCCAAATTCAGATGAATGGGTGAGCACAGACTTATCTGAGAGTCAAGTGAGGGATGCCCAGCTAAAGCGAAGAAACATAGAAGAAGACATACCCTGTTTCTCGCAGACCAGTGTTCAGCCCTGTGTCGTAACTACCAGCAGTGCTTCATGTAGAGGTGGTCACATAACTGGCTCTATGATGAACTTGGTCACAAATAACAGCATAGAAGATAGTGATATGGATTCAGAGGATGAAATTATAACACTGTGCACAAGCTCCAGAAAAAGAAACAAGCCCAGGTGGGAAATGGATGATGAAATCCTGCAGTTGGAGACCCCTCCCAAGCACCACACCCAGATTGATTACGTTCACTGCCTTGTACCAGACCTCCTTCAGATCAGTAACAATCCATGCTACTGGGGTGTTATGGATAAATACGCAGCCGAAGCCCTGTTAGAAGGAAAGCCAGAGGGCACCTTTTTACTTCGAGACTCAGCACAGGAAGATTATTTATTCTCCGTTAGTTTTAGACGCTATAGTCGTTCTCTTCACGCGAGAATTGAACAGTGGAATCACAACTTTAGCTTTGATGCCCATGATCCGTGTGTCTTCCATTCTCCCGACATTACTGGGCTCCTGGAACATTATAAGGACCCCAGCGCCTGTATGTTCTTTGAACCACTTCTGTCCACTCCATTAATCCGGACCTTCCCCTTTTCCTTGCAGCACATTTGCAGAACAGTCATCTGTAATTGTACAACTTACGATGGCATTGATGCCCTGCCAGTTCCTTCTCCTATGAAATTGTATCTGAAGGAATACCATTATAAATCGAAAGTTAGGTTACTCAGGATTGATGTGCCAGAGCAACAATGATGGAGAGAGGTTAGGAATGTGGACTTGCATACATATTTTCATTTCATATCTTATTTTTCTTATGCCTCTTCGAATTTTTCTACAAAGGCAGTTAGAATCCAAAATAAAACTGCCCTAAATTTTAATTCCAGATGAATTTATTTTTCTTATGATACACTTGTTATATATTTTTAAGCAGGTGTCTGGTTTTTGTTTTTACCGTGTAAATTATATACTTTTCCACTTAATTTACATATGGTCCAGGCATATTTGAAATTTCAAGGCATTACAAATACATTTGAATATTCTGTATTTTTTTTTAAGTAATCTTCTGCCCTTTCCTACATGTGGAATATTTTGCTAATGTACGCTATCAGTATTCTTATATGGCAGAATAGTTATCTTTCCCATTTTCATTTTAAAATTCTTCAGTAAAGATGAGTGTTGTAATCCGTCCATGATAATGTAATTGACTTTTGTAATTGCTAATAGCAATGTTAGGCAACAAAATGCTTTAAAGTGAAACAGTGTGTTTTCATTTTAAATATTAACTAAAGCAAGTTTGTTTCTTATTAATATGGCCAATGGAAAGAGAATGTTACGATCTAGAGGTGCATTTGTTCGGCAGTATGGCAGGATTGTCAATAGATCCAAATACAGCAGCCCTTCACCCTGGAAGAGGTGAATAACGTCATAATGCAACTTGGATTCCTTTCTTACTAGAAGCTTTACAGTTAAAACAGCGGTATTAGAAGCTTGGAGTTGCTAAGGCAACTAGAGTTTTTCTATATTAATTTATAGACTGTTACATCTACTTAGCTCTTTCTTAGGAACTCTGGTTCCCAGGGGGATATAGGCAGTTTCTAAACAGCTACTGTATCCACCAGTAACAAAAAGACCTGAATAGTTTCTCATTATTTTAAATTGAACTTAAATAAAGATGCAAACAAAACACGTGGTTCAATATTTAGGAAGCTTAATATTGCTTTCGGTCTTCACAACCTAAATAATTATTTCTGTCTTCAGAACTAACATATATTTTATGTAGCTTCAAAAAAGAGAAGACATAGCAATAGCTCCAAGATATAACATACTGGACAGGAGGACAAAATAATATTTCACATTTACTATCTTAAGGGCAGCACAGTGTTTTAGGACCATCACTGGCCTGGAGTAACCAGTAAGAAAGACACGTGGACTGGTGCCCTATTTCTCTCCTCAGTGACTGATCACAGATTGCCCAGTTTTCCTTGTGATAGGCTATCTGCCCCTTTTAAATATTGTAGTAATTTTTATTTATTTATTTGTGTGTGTGTGAGAGAGAGGAGAGAGAGAGAGAGTGTCCCTCCATGTAGCGGAGACTGACCTCAGGTTTGAGATAGTACAGCCTGAGTTTCAGGATTACAGGTTTGAACCACCATGAAGAGCTAGTAATTGATTTCTTTCTCTCGCTTTTCTTTCTTTTTCCCTTTTTCTTTCTTTTTTGTTGCTGTTATTATTTGTTTTGGTTCTGTTGTTGTTTAGTTGGTTGGATTTTGTTTGTTTGTTTGTTTGTTTGAAGCAGGGTCTCTCTGTATATCCCTGGCTGTTCTGTAGCTTGCTGTGTAGACCAGGCTGTCCTCGAACTCACAGAGATCTTCCTGCCTCTGCCTCCCAAGCACTAGTATTAAAGGCGTGCTCTACCACGCCTGGCTAGTAATTGATTTCTTGATGCTTGTTCAGCTGTATTAGAAAACTTGCTTCAACCTGGATTGACAGGACATTGCCTCAGAAGTTTCCAAGTTAAAACAAATGTTTCTTGCTGCTATGGTGATGCACACCTGTAATCCCAGCACTTGGGAACCAGAGAGATAAAGGTTGCTGTGAGTTTAAGCCAGTCACGGCTGTATGGTGAGAATATGTCTCAAAAATTTTTTTTTCCTTAATTCTTGTTGCATGTACATTAAAGTAGCCTTCCTCAGTGTTGGGAGGCTGTTAATGTAAAGAAAACATTTTCTAGCAATAGCTTTTACTGATCATTGTAGTTCATGCTTGTATTCCTAGAACTTGGGAGACTGAGGCAGAAGGATTACCATGAGTTCAGGAACAACCTAGGCTACAGAGTGAAACCCTGTCTCAATAACCCCCCCCCAAAAAAACAAACAAACAAACAAACAAACAAACAAACAAACAAAAAAACTAATAGCTTGCCAGGCAGTGGTGGCACACGCCTTTAATCCCAGCACTCGGGAGGCGGAGGCAGGCGGATCTCTGTGAGTTCGAGACCAGCCTGGGCTACAGAATGAGTTCCAGGAAAGGCGCAAAGCTACACAGAGAAACCCTGTCTTGAAAAACCAAAAGACAAAAAACAAAAACTAATAGCTTTAATTTTTTTCACCAATTACAAAATTAAAATGGGGAAAATGGTACCATTCTCTTCTAGAATTTTTTTTCCTTAGTGGTCTAAAGATCGTCTTGATCTCTGTGAAGAGGTGGCCACTCAAGATTGCCTCTTAGAGATGTAATGAGGCTCAGGCTATGAACACATGTCAGATAACTACATACCCTCCAAAGATGATGCTGACCCTTCCTGAAAGTGGAGTCTCCGACTACCTCATCTTTGCTGTGGCATTTTTGAAGTTGCGAGATGCTCATCTTATTAACCAGTATAACATTTCCTAAGTCTCCATATCTGGTGGCAAAAGTTATAGTGTGGTAAGACTCTACTCATAAATACAGCTTTTTATCAGAATTTGATAAAACCTTTTGTTTCTGTGAAACAATTATTTTTAATATTTTTCTTTTACAAGTAACTTTTTATCAGTGCAGAACTATCTAAGGGATGACTAGCTTATGAATATTCTGTTAAAAGGTAGTTTTATAAAGAAAAGTAAAATATAATCATGTCTTTTATAGTGGTAAAATTAGTGTTTATATGAAAGTCAAGATCTGATTAGCTTTTAATATACTTCAGACTGAGTGCTTATGATGCATTTTCTCTGACTTTTTATTCTTTTCATTTTCAAGGTATTAACAACTGTTAATATTTTCAGAATACTGCCATATGTGTAGCTTTGAAGTGTGTATTAAGTGAGAACAGGAGAGAGGCTGATTTACGCTGAAATGTCCTGTATCTTTCCTTTGGTACTTACTACAATGAGAAGAATTTGGAAAGTAGAGGTTTGTAAAGACTTGAGAAGAGAACTAGTTATTGTGAAGAGAAACGAGTGACAAAAATATTAGGGAATTTGAATTTAGAGAACTTACCCACTTTCCCTGTGTTTTTGTGAAGAACATCTATATTCAAAAACTAACTCATAAAAAAATTAAATGTATTTACTGAGTTAAATAGCTAAAATGAACAAATTTTATGAAGTACACAGGTCTAAATTAAACAGTAATGTTGTAACTCTTGAGTTGAATTTTGAACCATTTGAATAGTGTCAATTCCAGATGAAAAGGTGTCCAGTGCAGGGCCGGGTGCATACATCTTTGATCCCAGCGCTTGGGAGACAGAGGCAGGTCTCTGAGAGTTGAATGCCAACCTGGTCTACAGAGTGAGTTCCAGGCCAGCCAGGCTACATAGTGAGACCCTGTCTCAAAACAAACACAAAGAAGAAAGAAATGCAGTTGGTTTGGCAGAACTGTGTAGAGTTTATTTGTGAGAGAGGATGGAGCTAAAAGAAACAGGGTAAGATATTAAAATTTAAAAATTTAGGCATTACCTCAGGGAAAAGCCTTGCCAGGGGAAGGGAACTACTTTACCGCTAATAGCTCGTCTGGACCAGACGCTAACTGCCTTGGGAATCATCTGCACAATCAGGAAATGAACTTGACTTTTCCATTTCTCTTGAGGCTTTTCAGGACAGGCCCTTCTGCTCTTCACTAAACCTACATCTTGAGTAATTCCTGAAATATGCTGAATGGGTTCTTTTTCGTTTCCTTGGGTGTTTTTCTGTGAAGAGTTACGTGATCTTTTTGATACATAACCATGTCATTGGCCTGAATAGTTATATGGAGGGAGTCTGTTAATTTAAAAGGAACCTGATAGGAATATTAAAGGAAGCATTTAGACAGCCTGGGGCTAGATGTATTGATTTGGTGAGCAAACCTGTGTTCTTTGCTGACTTTCAGCTAATGGCTAACCGTGGTCAAAGAATGGCTTTCACTTAATGTTTTGACTGACTACAAATAAGATAAAGAATGTTTTAGTAATTAGAAATCTTTTAAAATATAAAACAAATGTACAAATAAGACTCATCATCTTTTTATAAGAAAAAACATAAGCCTTTATCATTTATTCATGAGCTAAAGCCATTAAGATAAATCAGATTATCAACTTCCTGTCTCTGAAGTTTGGGTTGTTTTTATAGATCCATGTAATAGAGCACTTCTTTCCTGTGAAACAGGTGCTTTGAGATCTCTTACCTTCTTCTCATTAAAGTGTTTGTCACTTTAAATATAATCAGAATCCAGTAGACAAGCATGTTTTTATTTTGGCAGGACAAATTTCACAGACTATAGACTTAATTTTAAGACAGTCCTGAAGATAAAACAATATTTAAAATAGCCTATTTAGCCAAGTGTGATGGTGCACACCTTTAGTCCCAGCACTCGGGAAGCAGAGGCAGGTGGATCTCTGAATTCCAGGCCAAGGCTACATAACAAGAGCCTGTCTCAACAAAAAGAAAGAAAAGAAAATCAAGAGAAAAAAAAAAAAAGATGAAGAAAAAATATAAAGTAATGGTTATCCAGTGGAAAAGGCTTTGGGGCAAAACTAACTCCAAGATAGTGTTTCTAATTTGTAATCTGGAATGGATTACTCAATCCTAAATCCTCTTTTGTCGTAATTGCCTGTGAAACGTAGGTAATGGTATTGTCCCTTGGTTTCCTGAAAGTTCATTCACTAAGAGATATCCCTTGGAGCACAGTTGAAAATAATTTCTGAGTAGCTATACAGTACTAATTGAGAATGATCAGTTTTCAAAAAGCACCTTTGTGGCGCGTAGAAAATCACATTCACTCAGTCTGTAACAGGCTTTCTTGACTTGATCTGACAATGGAGATAATGGAACAATTTGGGTCTATGGTTCAAACTCTACAGTTAGATGATTGCAATTTCCTCCTGCCTTTCATAAGATCTGTGTAAACTGATATTTGCCTTATTTAGAAAGCTGATTACATTTGCAGGAAATAAAGATGATTTTTGCCATGGTCATAAATCAAATCTAAGCTTTCAGATTTGGGAGCTATGGTGTAAAACTCAAGAAAGTTTATTTAAATTTTGATGGCTTTGTTAGAATTGCATCATTTTTTTTAGCCAAGTATGAACTATATATACTTGAATATACAGAACCTAATGATTTCATAAAGCTATGTTGTCAATCATGGTGTGTGACCCATACTATCTCAACTTTCTAATCTTGACAAACATTTGTGGGTTTAAAAAAACTTGGATCTAAATAAATTTTCACTTAATTAAATCTTCATGTATGAAATCCAAAAGCTTTGTTGTTGTTTTTTAAAGATTTGTGTCATCTATGTTAAATTCAGGAGCATACCTTGATACACTTGGGAAAGTCAGAGGACAACTTTTTGAGGGCTGGTTCTCCTGTGGTTTGACTGAGGCAGGGTCTCTCCTTGTTTGCATCCAGCTTCACCTCAGGAGTGCCAGAATTACAACTGCTGGCCACAGCATCTGGGTTTTCACATGGGTTTAGGTGATCAAACTCAAGTGGTCGGATTTTTTGGCATGCACCTTTACCTGCTAATCTAAAACTTTGGCCCCAGCCTTGTGGTTTTGTTTTTCAGTTCTTTATTATTGGGGGCTGGGGGAGGGTAGAGGGAGATGTCACATGGCAGGTGTGGAGGTCAAAGTACAATTTGTGGAGTTACTTATCTTCATTCCAGGGGTCAAACTCAGACTGTCAAGTTTGTACAGCAAGCACTTTAACCAGCTGAGCCAGGTTTCTGGCCAGTGTTTTTATCTTAGAAAGCATTCCTATCTTTAAATGATTAGGAGGACATGACCATTCCTGGGTGTGGTTGAGGAGAGGGGTTCTTTTGTAGATAGGAGGGAGAGAACCTCTAGAGGCACCTGGAAGGGTCCAAACTTGTAGCAGACTTTCTTGGACCACCAGCCCCCAAATCATGACACAGAGACTTATTATTAATTATGAAAGCTCAACCTTAGCTTAGGCTTATTTTTAACTAGCTTAGAACTTAAATTGACCCATTTCTATTAATCTGCATGCTGCCACATGGCTCATGGCTTTTTACCTCTCCTGTATGTGTCCTGCTTCCTCTGTGTCTAGCTTGCTACCCTGCCTTTCTTCCTCTCCAAGTCCTCTTCTATCCCCAGAAGTCCCACCTAACCTCTTCCTGCCTAGCTATTGGCCATTCAGCTCTTTGCTAAACCAATCAGAAGGTGCCTTAGGCAGAGACGCATCTTCACAGTGTACAAGAAGATTATTCCACAACACAAACTGAACCAGGCCATGGGGAGCAGACCAAAAGAACCGAGGACTAAGAGGCTAAGAGCAGGCTGGGAGACCAAGAGAGCACTTAGTCAAGATGGCTGGGGTTATGTAGTTATCAGGCTAGGGAAAGGGAGGGCAGCCACTGTCCTTGAGAGGCTTAGGGTGGGAGGCACAGGTCCCGAGTTGAGACTTGTCCTGGGTTTCCTGGGGACCTTGCATACCTTATATATTCAAATCAAAGGCCTGCAAAGGAAAAATTGAAGAATTTATAGATATAATTACACTTTGCTTTTTGATGTATCAGTTTTGAGTCCACAAGAACCAGAAGCCAGTCTCAAAAGCCACGGCCCTCATCTATGGCAATGTTTCTCAACCTTCCTAATGCTGCAGCCCTTGAATACAGCTGTTCCTCATGTTGTGGTGACTCCCAATCATGAAATTATTTTCATTGCTACTTCATAACTGTCATTTTGCTACTGTTATGAATTGTAATATAAATATCTGATATGCGGCCCCTGTGGGTCATTCGACCCCCAAAGGGATCATAACCCACAAGTTAGGAACCACTGTTCTCAAAAACTTAAAGGGAGTAAGATGGCTCATTCTGGAGCCATTTTGAATGACGGTGCCAAAACACAAATTTAGGTTACCTCAACCAGTACCAAAAGTTTTTAAAGTTTTATAGAACAGCAAAGTCATAAATCAAGGTAGGTTTAAAATACACTGGTGGGGTACATTGGAGAGACAGGTATATCAGGATAGAGGAGGCTTTTCTATAGGCTTAAAATGCCCTCAGATGACATTCTTAGCTGTTGGTAGAAGCTAGTTGTCTGTTAGTACATTCCGAAAGGTTTTTATCTATTGCCACAAGATGTTAGTTTCGACGGAGGCGGGCAAGGATCGGCCTCTGTTCTGGAGGGCTAGAGCTAGGTAAGGTAATTAGCATCTGGACCTGCAACATTCCAATCCTTCCACAGCACTGAAATTCTAAATAGCCACTCAGTCTCTGCAGATATAGATTGCTCTCAGAAGTTGTCATTCACAACCCCTTTGCAAAGTCATCCCCCTTCCCTCATCTTTTAACCCTCAATTTTGGTGGACTGTAACAGCCAGCCTGAAGCCTGGCTGCAGAAACCGCTGAACGAAGCGAGTCCAAAATCTGCTTCTAGCCACGGGCTTGCCTTGAGCATCCCCGGCCAGAGAGGTTTTCGTTGAGGGGTCTTTTGAACTCAGGAAGCGGTGAAGCTTTCCCGCGCTCCACCCAGAAAAAAAAAACAGCCCTAGCTCCTGGAGCCACGCGGTCCTGCCTGCAATTTTGTGGGCGGCCGGCTGGGGGCGCCGGGCGGGGTGGGCGGAAACAACGGGTGGCCAGGCGGGCCTCCGCGCTTCCCTTTCCGGTGCCAGGAGGAGCCGTGTCGCTGCCGCCTTGGTCCGTCAGGCCTCGGGCCGGTTCTCCATTGCTCGTCTCCCCGGACTCCTCGCCGCCGCCGCCGCCGCCGCTGCGCCGCGCTTAGGGCTCGGATCCTGCCGGGTGAGTCTGCATTGGCGCCCGCGGAGGGGCGGGCAGGGGGCGCGGGGACGGCGGGGGACGGCGCGAGGACGCGGGGGTCCCCGGGGGCCGGGCGGTTCTGGAACCTTCGTCGGCCGGGCGCCTCGGAGGCTCCTCCCGGGAGCAGGCGACCGACGGGTTCTGATGTAGCGCCGCTCGGATCCCCGGGCGACCACGTCACGCCAGACTCGTGGGGTGGTGGGGCGGGAGCGGGCGACCCTCCCCCACACTCCCGCCGGCGGGATCCGCCGGGGGCCGGTTCGCTCCGGTTGATCCCGGATTCCCTTTGTTCGCTGAGCCTTGGAGAGCATCTTGTCTGGCTCCCCTTGCGCCATGCCCCGCCACCGGTGTCCCTGCCGCTGATGGCTGATACAAACCGGCAGTGCAGGAGACCCGAATCCTCCTCTCCAGGCGGGTCTGTGCGCCAAGGCCCCGGCTGTTGGTAATCACCCGCTGGTGAAATGACTCCCCGGGACAGAATGTGCCGAGGGCTGGGCAACGTTCTCCATTTGTAAGATTTAGGCGCAGATCAACCAGCGCTTGAACCGTTTTCCTCTCTGCCTGGAAAACCGAAAGTAATGCATTTCACTAATCCTAGTGTTGAATCAAACCAGACCCCACCCCAGATCCATTACAGCCTGCTGCGGGTATACACACGTGTCCCCCCCGGTGTGGTAAAGGCCTGTGTTGGAAGCCAAACCCTCACTGCCCGGGTCGTCTTCGAACGTCTTTGTTTCGTGGTGCTCCTGGCCGAGGGAGAGGAGTTTTCCTATTCGTGGTGTGTAGGAACCACTCTGTAAAACTAATGTGCTTCACAAACTTTTTAATGCAGTTGCCAAAGTTGCAATGTGCTTTTTGATTGCAGAAGGAATCACGATGTCCATCTTCCTTCTCTTAACTGAGGTTGAGTCTCGAGGCCAGGATGCTTAGGAATTCAGCAACCTTCAGATTTTGTAATTTATAAAGACTGTTATTTCAGAGGAGCGGTAACACCCCTAGACTCGGGGGCCCGTTAACCCGGTATTAATAATTTGTACAGGCTGGGCTGGTAGTTCAAGTAATTGAGCGTGGGCCTGGCCTCCAGTGAGGCCTTAAAGTCAGTCCTCAAAACTTCAGAGAAAGGAAAAAAAAATACTGCAGTCGTAAATGCTCATAGCTGGGGGTGAATGGGAAATAAAATGGATAAATACAGTCAGGTCACCTTTTGGCACCAAATAAGTTTTGTGCCATACTTCGGATAGGAGGTTGCATTTTCTAAGCTTTCTGGTTTGAAAATAGACAAAGGTTTGTGGTCATATTGTAGCAGCTGTAAAAGTTAACGTTTGTTGAGTTTTTGCTCTGTGCTAGGCAGTGATTTAAGAGATTTGTTTACAGATTTTTGTAAGCCTCAGCAAATCTCTGGGAAATAACCATTGACTCTCGTTCATGAGACTCGGCTAACTGGATTTGACCAGAGGCCAGACAGGCAGTCTACTCCATTACCTTTGTGCACTGTGTCTAAATGAGAAAAAGGGGAAGCTGGGGCTGAGGATTGGAGAGAGATGGGTGGCTCAGGTTAAAAGCATGCACTGCTTTGGAGAACACTGGAGCTCTGTTCCCAGCATTTACAGGAGGCGGCTCACAGCTGCTTGTAGCTCCAGCTTCAGGGAGTTCTGCACTTCTAGCCTCCTGCATTGACGGGAACAAACCCATATATATATTTGTAACTTAAAAATAGCAAGAAGGAGAATTGGATTGTTGCTTATCTATTTTCCAAGCACTGGTTTAGTTACTTGGTCAGATGGGGTTCTGTTTAGTTCCCGTGTAGCATTACTGGCCTGTTCTGAGTATGTCCAGAAACAGAAGAGGACTCAAATAAGCTAGAAAGTTAAAGGATTTGGATCCTTGTCTAGAGATCTCTGCTAGAACTTGCTTTCTTTCAGTGTTCCAACCAGTCTGAACTATGGCTGCTTTCCACAGACTGTCCGTTCTCCCTCCCAGATTTATACAAACTGTTCTTACCCTGGAGCCTCTCTTTAACTAATACTCCCTTACTTCTAGACTGCAGAGACACCAAGAATGTCTATGCCATGCCACTAAATGCCCCTAAAGTCCAGCAGTGTGTCACACTTGGGTTCCAATAAATATGAATAATTTATAAATGATACTAGGAATTTTTAAATGTTCAAGAATGTCCCGTGCTTTTTTACTTACTCAGTTGTAAAATTGAATATAATCTGATAAATTAGCCAGGACTAAAAGCTAACATAGATTCTAATTCAGAATCTGTGTTCGGTATAACATACTGTTGTTCTCACTGTTATGAATTATTACTCGGGGACCCCACGCATTCAGGGAAACATGCTGGCATACTGGGCAGATGCAGCGGCGGGCTAGCCGGTCGGTGATCTACACCATGGGGCCATGGTGGTGGGACAGCGGGTGACATGCACAACCCAGATGCTACATTGCTCGGAAATGTTTATTATAATAGAGATGAAGAGAGGATAGGAAAGAAAGGAGGGGTTAGGGGTGGAGGGAGAGAGAGCAAGGCGGAGTTTTTCCTTAAGAAGGGGCTTCTGCTTCAGGACACGGGGTTGGCCCCAAGGGGCGGGATCAGAACGTTAACACTCGCACTAAAATCACAAAAGTCCTGATTTTCCTTGGTTTCTCTGAATTTATATATCTGTGTGTATGTGTGTCTGTCTGTTTAGATTCTTGGTCGATGAAGTATCTAGGAATTGCAGCTTTTACAGATGTTAAGAAACCTGCTTTTGTCAAAAAGGATTAAGTGTAGAGTTGGTGGCCTTCTGAAGTATTGCTTGCCAGTTGTCACTAATAATTCAATGGATTTTAGCTTTCTTTTTTAATTTTGTTTTTTAATTTAATTTAATTTTACATATCAGCCACGGATTCCCTTGTTCTCCCCGCTCTTGCCAAGGATTTTAGCTTTCTTTTTTTTTTTCTTTTTTTTTTTTAAAGATTTATTTATTATGTATACAGCATGTATGACTGCAGGCCAGAAGAGGGCACCAGATCTTATTACAGATGGTTGTGAGCTACCATGTGGGTGCTGGGAATTGAACTCAGGACCTCTGGAAGATCAATCAGTGCTCTCAACCTCTGAGCCAACTCTCCAGCCCCCAGATTTTAGCTTTCTTAAACTTTGAATGGGATGATTGCCTGAAAGACCATAGAAATTACTGGTGTATTGTATTTTTCCTCTTCCAGTGACTGGCGAAAGATATTTACACTATATTTTTTTACTTTTATTCCTAAGGAAATAAGTCTTTTTCAGCCTGGGAACAATGAGACCCTATCTGACAGGGAGGAAACTGGGAAGCAAGGAAAGCAAACAGCACTGTCTGCCCATACCTTGTTCTTGGAGGAGAGCCAGTGTTTGGAATAGTAATGGAGAGTTTGGGAAGTAAAAGCTTTCAGTTGTGCAAAAAGAAGAAAGTGTCTTTTTTGAGTTTGAGCCTAAGATGTATATGTGGCACAGGCTAGCCACAAGTTCCCAGCCCTCCCGCCTCAATGCCATGGCCTCCAGAAGATGGGGTGCCCCATCTCACCCAACCTAAAAATACTCCTGGTTCTAAACTTATTTTTTTGGCTTTTTGTTTTGTTTTTTATTTATTTGGTTTGATTTTTCGCCCTGGCTGTCCTGCAACTCTCTCTGTAGACCAGGCTGGTCTCGAACTCAAAGATCTGCCTGCTTCTGCCTCCCAAGTGCTGGGATTATAGGTGTACACCACCGCTGCCAGGTTCTAAACTTCTTTTTTTATATGCTAAAATTTACAACCACTTCATTGGCATCAGTACAGTTGGGTGTTTGATATAGTTTTTGAGAAAACCTAGGTGTTGTGACCTTCTGCAAGGAAGCTCCAGCATCGTACTGTTTACCTCTCTAGAATGGTGGGATCTGGGAGAATGGGAATAGGGCCAGTAAGTGAGGTGGACCGAAGCCTCATGCAATAATCCACTTTATTCAGAGCATCAGACAGTTTATACACTGGAGGGTTAAGAGGAGTCACATGAGTAAAATGTATAATCATCAGGGAAAGCTGTATTGAGAAAAGATAAAATGTGTTTTCATAGAGGCACAAACAAGTAACAATAGCCGGTTGTAATGAATAATCTGAAGTGAATGCACTCCTATCCCATCCATCTGGGAGGGGCACAAAAGCATATCCCAAGAACAATTCTGTTGTTTTGAAGGAGCTGAGGTCACAAGACTCTTGTCTTGGTTTCTTGGAGTTTTCTCAGAAGCACTCAGAAATCTCCTCACATGACTCCATTCTTACACCGTGTTCTGACATCTTCCCCCTTTTGATTCTTTTAAATGCAAGATACCCAGAGTGGTTTTGTTTTGAGACATTGTAGATAAATCTAATAGTCATTTGATGTATGATATCCTATAAGCAAACAAAGTATGATAATATTAGAACAATGAAATCATTGTGTGTAATACTCTGCCACCATGAACAGGAATCCAAACTGTCCAGTACTATTGGTTACATTTTATTGATAGAGAATAGCTTGAAAAGAGACTTATGACTCTGGTATCTTGTAGAATGTAAGCCCATATTTGCCTTTTAATAGAAAACAAGTGTTATAATGTCCTAAGCAAATAGAAAGTGATTTAAATCCCTAGGAAAAGTTAAACACAGTCCCTTCTTCAGATGGATGAATGAGTCTATTATAGTCTCAAAGTCCATTCATAAATACAGAGTCATTAGTGAAGAAACTTCTCCCTTGGTGCACAGGTTGTTAACTCGGCCCCAGGTTGGCAGACCTGACTTCTGGTAATATGGTTGATACCTCCTTTTGTCCTTTAGCTGGAGGTTTGGTATCTTTCTGGTGACTTTCTCGGTCTCCTAACCCTCCACTGCCATTGAATTGATGGCCCGGGGCTGGAGGAGGCAAAGAGGAATGCATGATCTTTCAGTGACTCCATGTGCGATGACAGATGCACACCCCTCCTTTTCTTCTGGAGAAGTAAAAATTGGGCAGGTTAATGCATCAGCTTGTTTATTTCCTTTTACAGTAAGACCAGGGAGGTTAGAATTTCATACTGCAGGAGTATGAAATAAACAATGGATATATATGGGTATTGACCAGAAGTTGTAGTTCCTGTAGTAATGCAAGCATAACAATGTGAAGACAAAATTCAAGCAGTTTCTGTTGATGAAAAGTATCCTACAACATAAGAAGAAACTGAAACAATATTTAAGGACTTAGGAAGTAACCAAAATAGATGAATCAAAACAACCATTTTCACCTGTTGGGCCATCAATAGAATAAGTATCTGCCTATGGGGTGGGAGATGGTTGGACAATTTTCATAATCACAAATTCAGTTCACATGAGAAAATCCCATAGCTTACTAGCTAGATAATGATTTCATATCCTTCCATAATAATATGCAAATGAAATCTGAAAATCCATAGAGTTCTATAACACTCTTTAAAGCTGATTGTTAGTAATACAGCAAGGATCAGAATCCATGTAATTGTTGACATCGGATCCTACCCTGATTTACTAATTGAGCAAGAAGAGTAAGGTAAGCAGTTAGTATTTTATGGCCCTTGTGGTGTGAATAAATCCATTCCAAAGGTTTATCCTCTTTTTTTTTAATTATTTTTATTTTTATTTTTTTTTAAATTACACTCATGATATTCATTACTTACACTCATTATGTTAATCCCATTTGTGGTATTCATAGATTACATTCGCAGTATCCATTCAATTTTATATATATATATATATTTTTTTTTTTTTTTTAAATTTTAAATGTCGAATGTCATTTCTTGAAGGGGGTAGGAGGTCTTAAATACAGGCTTACAGCACAATGGGAGGACCCTGGAGGGCAGAAGTTTGCTACTGATGTTTTACAATCTTGCATCTAAGCTGTTAATGCCCATTATTCAGAATACACAGACAAGGAACTTCCCTTAAGCATTCAGGAGGGTGGAACCTGGCAGGGAATTAGCATAGGGAGGATATAAAGGTCAAGGTCCATAAGCAAGGCAACAGTTACCCAAAACGGGGGCCAGGGCCCTGCAGGTCCCCCTTTTATTAAAAAATGCGCTTCTGACTTGGGTTGCGTGGGATGTCAGCAGGTCACCTTACCTGTCATGGAGACGCCTGCTCAGGCGACACAGGTGCTCTGTCTTAGGTTGGTGAGTGCCCCCCAGGCATTACCCGTCTCTGAATACTCAATACCAGCTCAGTTGTGTGTGAGCTGCATGGTTAATTGCTGCCAAAGATCTCAAAGTGGCACTGGGCTTGCAATCTGTGTGTTCGATACAGAAAAGACCAACAAAGGTCCTTTCTCACCCATAGCCAGTAGGCTAAAGGCAACTGAGCCATTCCCTTCCTTAACGAGCCATACTGTA